AGAGATTCTAGAGGATTGCAGGAAGACCAAGAGACTTTATCTATAGTAAAGGCTGAGTAACTATCCTTATCCCTATTAAAGGGAGAAAGGGAGATGGCTAGGAGCAAGGAATGTAAGTATCTCAAAATGTCCACAGAGAGCTGTGACTAAGACAGAATATATTGATTGCACATAATAAAGACTTAAATTATACACTGGAGAATCTTAACTTGAAAGAATAACAAAGCACTCAGGTGGGACATCTAGAAAAACCAGGATTGCTGCTGTTGGAGAGTTCTAAGCACATTAGGTGAAAATCAGCTCAGCAGTCATCTAGCCGTACTTAACCCTAGTGCAAGTGCAAAAGACTAATCCTGAGGCTCCTCCCAGCTCTCCACACCTGTGTGGTCTAAACCTTAACATATTTCACATTACTACACAACAGACTAACACACAGTTCTTAAAAAAACATTCTACGGTCCAACAGTCACCCTAAAGATATTCTGTGTGAGTAACTGAGATGTAGACTCTTGATTTAAGTAAAAGACCTTGCCTAAAAACACCTGTACTGCCAGTTGTTGACAAAACTAATGCAAAGCCACTCATGAACCCAAAAACCCAGTTAACAGGTTGTCTTCTTATACTCCCAGTCTTTCTCTACTGAGGAGAGATTAAAGCAGTCAGTACTGTGTACTGCTATTGCTCTCACAAACTGGGCCCTAGAATTTTGAGGAGTCAGGGATGGAAATAAGGTCAGATGACCTTTATTTCTTTAAATTGCAAGCTATATTAAAGTAGAAACTTCCTATTACTCTTCCTAAACATGAAGACTGGAAAATAAAATTCTTGGAATAACTCAAAGCACTGGGCTTTGCAAAGGATTTAAGGGAGCTAGCAACTCTACCAAATTCCATTTCTATGCTGAAAATGTTGCATGTTACCATGGAAGTTAAAACCTACTTTGCCCCACAAGAAGATATTTTCCCCTCCTAAAACTTGAAACATAAATTTTTAAAGCTACAAATGTAACACAATGGTAAAACCTTTAGAAATCTGTAACTTGCTAAAACAAACTTAGCAAATAGGCTGCATTAGACATCACACTAAAGGATAAATCCATTAAAAATGGCCTCATTAGTAATTATACACATAAGCATTCACTAATATTGGACAATAGGCCTGAAACAGCAACAAACTGCTTTTCACAAAGCACTACATACAACTGTGAAACTGATTCCCACAGGCCTTTCTGAAGACCAAGCATACTTCATGTCAAAAAATACTAGATGAATAGAGGTGAGTGTGATTACTGATGGCTACTTAGCACCGTGTTTCTGAAATAAAGCCTAGCTCAAGAAGTTTCTAAACAATGATACTAAGGAAGAGGGTACTTCACACCCACTGTTGCAAATTCCTCTCTAAACTAAAAGCAGTGGCCTTTTCTCCTGAAAATAATGTACTTCTGCTTTTGCAAAGCTAGTAAAGTTTTTACACAGTTTTTAACTTCACAAAAAGTTACTCCAGTGACCTTGACCACATTGACCAACTTCCAAAGCCCATGCCCTGATTTTCTCTCTTTTTTTGGCTAGCATATATTCACCTTGAATACTAAGCCAAATCATCGGAAAGCCACCACTCAAATCTCTCAGGTGTGCTTTTTTTTTGGCTCTGAAACAGGTTTCAGAGTCTGTTGGAGTCTGTTAGAGAGTTAATATATTTTGTAATATATTTTGTGCCAAACCCCTATTTAAAACCCTAGTTTTGGACTGAGCTTATAAAGCACACTTCTATTCATCTCCAAAGAACTCCCAGTATGATTGGGACTTTTCTAGAACTAAAACAATAATTTCTGGTCAGTTGTCATTTGTAGGATGTCATTTGCAGATAATATATTTAAAAAAAAATACTCTGCCTTTCTTGTCTACCGTGCAGGTATCCAATTTCAAGGAAATAAAAAAATCTATGGATATAAATCAACTAAAATAATCTGAACAGTAGTTTTTAACAATATATTTACTATGTAGTTTTTAGCAACATGAGAGTACATGCCCAGTATGTCCCCTTCAATACTATACACCCTTTTGCAGAAAATGTGGTATTTATAGCTCATTTCACTGTTTTTCATTAAAATGCAGTCATCTTTGCTTCATCAAACAAATCTGTCACTTGAACTTAGTGCTCTAAATAAGTACAAAAAGGAACATAGTGCTCTGAATAAGTACAAAAAGATGAAAAGATACATTTATATTGAATATCAATTTTTGATGAACTACAGGAGCACAGACAAGCAGGTGCAGAGAACAAGCTCCACAGCCCCATCTGTTGGCTAACAAAGCTCTCAAAGCTCACACCATCCACCAGCCCCTAGCCAACAATGCTGAAGGGGAAACAATTAATTTTTTGGATGAATAGTTCCATCACAGATCTGAGGTATCCGTGCACCAGCAGCAACTTTTACTTCCTGAGCACATAATAACTGAGTTTCTAACACACTTATGGGATTTTTAACTTCTTTTTAATTAGAACAGCAAAGCACTCTGTGCATAGTGCTGCTTTTCTGAGCAAGGTTGAGACTGGCTTGCTTGCATTTTCATTCATAGATAAATGGTAGTGAAATTGTGAAATAGTGAAAATGTAGTGAAATTGTAGTGTCTAAGGGGTGTCCCTTGACTTACAAGCCCATGCTAACATGACTTGCTTTTCAAGCCAAGGGCTTGAATGTAGATTTTTAAAGGCATTTACTGGAGTTTGTAAGTGACAAATGTTCCGAGCTCCTACTGACTTGTCGGGACTACGATAGCCAGATCTTGAGCATATGGAATAGGTGAAATATGACCTGCTCGTGTTAAAAATACAGAACCCAGTGACTGAGTGATTTTAAACAAAGCACCTCCTTATGTAATGAACAAAGTAACTCCTTCGTAAGAATGCAGTTCTAATGAAGAATTACAGTAGGACAGTTCTGTACAGCAAGCAGAACAAGGTGACAGTATGACAGGGACAAGTTCAAGGGCTTTTCTAGAAGTTCTCATCTATAAAAACCCACTGCAGAGAACCTATTTGTAGCACACTAGAAAACTGCTGCTGCAAGCTTTAAGTTTGGTTAATGTCAGTTGTGATGGGGCTCCCAGTGCTGAAAATGGTGAGAGAAGAGGGTGGGGAAAAGGTGGGAGCTAATGCACTTTTCTTATGTAAGCATTGGTCCATTGAGAGAAACCAAAACAGATCTGACAGACAGGAGAGGTGGTTGAAAGGAAAAAGTGTAGCAGACAACTCAAAATTAACATAAAACACATACATAAAAATTAGCCAGTGTTGAGAAATACTATTGCTGACCTCCTCTGTTAAATTATCAGTAGATGCTCCCATGTACTGCCAGTGGGTGGGGGAAAGTGTGTTGATGGTGCACTCCTGCAGGAAGTACCTTATCTCAGAGTAAAGTGCAGCTGTATTAACAAGTGCAAATCAAACAGCACTCAAGGATAAACAAAAGAAAAAAAAAAGTTTAAAAGTAGTCTGGAACTTGCTCAATTAAAACTTAGATTCCTACCCATAAACAAAGACAGTTGCTATTATTATATGAGGATAAGCAAGTAAATTGTCATTCAAACCCTAATGACAATTACTCTGTCAAAGTCCCACTGAAATCTGGGTATCCTGTACTACAATTTGGTTGTCCAACTAAAGTTTCAGACTAACTGCTGTCTTTTAAAAGCTCTTTGAAGGAAAGAGAACTAATAGAGGATCTCAGTAATGCAGGACTCATCTGACTCCATCATGCTCTTCTCAGTCCAAAAATATACTTTCCTTTCAAATGACAAAATTCTGTTCTTGCTTAGGGCACAATCATAATGAGCAATCTACAGGACCTCTGAAAAGACATCGGCTGTTGAGCAGTTTGGCTCACTCATAGCCTTCCATGCTACTATTCAAAACTCCATAAAAAAAATGGACTCCCTATCTCTATTCACAAACCTTCAGGTCTCCTATGGTCAATAAAATACTTTTTCTGCAAGAAGAGCTACAAAAGTAATCTCCCTTATGCTGGAAATGATGTATGTACACTAGGTTTGGAAGGAATGGCTCTCTAGCCGAAATCTTTGGGGCTTGGTAGCAAAGGGAAGAAAGGTATGGTGTGTTTAAATCACCAGGTGAAAAGACCACAACCAAGTTAGACAAATGAAATGTGTAAGGCAAGATGGAAAGGGAAGAGTCATGACAGGTCATGGATCATGTAGTTGTTCCACTTCTCACATCCTACCTTTGACAGACTTCATTTAAATAGACTGTACAATCTTATCATACTGACATGCAAGAAAACAATACAAATGTAAGCAATGGCATGGCAGACACTTGTGGTGTTTAAAGCCAACAATTGCTGAAAAAATTATTAACACCGAGTATAACTAACAATGTGATTGAGTCTTCTCCATATTGATTTAATAATGAGGTGTGGCCTTGGACAGGGTGGGGGGGTTGAAATCAGGATCCTATAACTCATGGGTTTTTTACAGAGGTGGGAAAGTAGATGTATTTCCAGATTATTTGTTGGAAAAATACGGAACTCGTGGATGTCTTTTAAAGTGTAGCTTTGGATGATATTTTCCCAATTTTTTAAAGAGTTGTCCTTTACCTGTATTTTTATATAGTTCTATTTTTTAATACACTTTGAGTGGAAAGTTCTTCTCAGCTCTTGTATGATCTACATACAAGATCTACATACATCTTGTATGATCTAAAAACTCCCTTTTAGTCCTTTGAAAACATTTGTGAGGGTTGGCTCCTGCAGTGAGGGGATTCTGCTCTTTTGCTCAGCACAGATTCTCAGAGAAAGCACTTGTATTAGCTATCAAAGAAGGGCAGCAGCACACCCTGACAAGCAAGAGACGAAGTTTCAGATTATGATCTTTATTCTTGCAGTGTTTGAAATGCCATGTGGGCACTTCGTTCGACTCAAGTAGAGCATATTATGTTACTTTAAATAAATTATGCCAGGTATTGCACCAAGGTACTTAACTTACCCCTCCCATGGTAATGCCATCAATAAGTGCCACATATGGCTTCTTGCAAGTGCCTGTAAGAAATGTAAAGAAAAACAATGGCACACCTTTTTCAAAAGAGTGGACCTGTGACTACCTGCCACATGACACGTTTCCCCATGTCTTACTTCAGCAAGAGCAACAGAAAATAAAGGGTTATGTAAACAGTCAATTATTAACTGATAGTGAAGGTGGTTCATAAAACTCTTAAAGAAACACCAGTTTCTGACTTACTGCATTGTGAGTGTTGTAAGAGAGAATTATACGGCTATCAGTTGACAGCAGTCTGATTGCTATGTGAGTACCTGACAATTTAGCTATTATAAATAGCTTGGTAGGACAGCGGGACACAACAGCTGCCCTTTCACCCCCTCTCACAGCCTGGATTAACAGCACAGTGTGTGTCAGCCCTTCAGTGCTTTACTACAAAGCCAGATGAATTGGCAGATTTCAGTCAAAATGTGAGTATGCAATCATGTTTTGTCTTGCCAACTCTGCTGGATGTTACAGTCCTTGAATGTGGTGCAGGCAGGTCGAGATGATAATGTCCTAAAGTACCACAGTATTAGCGACCAACTTTATCTGTTGGGGCCTTTAGGAGGCATAAAACTAAAGCCCTGATGCTTTCAATTACCATTCATGGAAAGATTCAGGTATTCACTGAGAATGAAACAGCTGCCTTTGTATTCAGTGTTTTCAGGTCAGATGAAGTTCAAAAAGATTGCTGATACAGGTGTCCCCTGCATCCATGTTGCTGGTTTTTCTGTAACAACTATAGATCATTGTTTAAGAAAAAAGGTATTTTAAAAGGCAGTTCAGTCCTTCAAATTAGTAGTTAGAAAATGTAGCAGAATTGTGTTTTTAACTTTGTTCTTACATGAACATACAAGCTAATGCATGGGCTGTAGATGCTAGCCTTTGAACTAAATTTACTACAGCAGCATTCCTCTTCCACAGTAATGCTGTGAAAGCAGCTCCCCTGTGCATTTTTAAGTTGTAAAATATAAGATACAAATAAGGCAGAAATCTCAGCCTTAAAGGAATAAAATCATACTAAAGTTATCAAAAATCTAGGTTTTGTAATTACATGCACTATATATTGAACACTCTAATAATAATTAAAAAAAAACCCAACAACAAAACAAAACAACCCCAGACTTTTAAATTATGTACCCTTGCAATAGAATCAAGTCCAACTGCCATAGTAATACTGTATTTTCCCCAAGTATGTGAAACCTTAAGCTATTTTTCTTGCCTCCTGTTGGAGAAGGTAAGGTACATAACAAACATGCTCAACCTAGAAACTCAAACAAAGTCAAAGCAAAAATACTTTTTACAAAGTAAAAATTACTCTTACTCTAATAACTGTGCTCTTCTGTCAATGTAAGCAACATCTTCACCTCTCATCCTGTAGGGACTAACGCTGGATATAATATTTAAAATCTCAAAACGCATTACATTAAAGTTTGTTTGCAATTGTTTCTTCTCACCAAAACATTCAACTCTTGAGTTTTACCCTGAAGAATTAATATCCTTTCTTACTATCCCTCATCCCCAGTAAACTTCACACAGTGTCTCTGCTGTCAGTTCTTTGCAATAAGCTCAGGCAGGTAACTCCTGGCCTGAGTTATGCAGTCTTAGTCTTTCATGCAGTCTGTTTAAATGGAAAGCCTTAACATGATTTGATCTTCTGACTGAATATTAATGATTTTCCACGTATCTATTTTTAGCTCAGGTCTCCTTTGAAGCAGATCAATGATACTTAGCGCAGAACTGCAGTGTCTGCAGCCAAGGCTTAATTCTTCCATAGGGGAAATACAGAACAATGGGATGGGATAAAGTAGCTGTCACAATAGCTCAGACAAAAGAAACAAATTCTGCATGCAAGGTATAAAAATGTGATGTTTCACTACTGATACTGAACTCAGTTAAAGAAAAATTAATTACTACTTCTATGATGATCACAGTCTTTAATAGATTAGCAAAGAGAGAGAGTAAATTTACATTCAAGGACAGTGTTATGCAAACTGTACTGCTTCAGAAGCTGCTATCAAACATACCAATGGCATTGTTCAGCCTGTATTCTCCTTGGAAGAACTCTTGTGACAGTTTATCTCCAACTTTTCCTGCCTCTGTGATGGCTTAAGAGAAATAAAAATTCGGAAGAGAAGGAAGTTTAATATAAATATGAGTCATAATTAATAGAATAGACTAATAGAAATAATAATTAATAGAAAATATAAGTAACATTAACAGAAAATAATGCCACATAAGTGGGTTTTTTTCCTACAGCAATTAAACAGAATTTAATCCTGCTTTATTATATTTCAGAAAATCTGCTCAAACTTAAATATGAATGTTAAGTCTCAAGTTTGAGTCAACTGTGTTTTGCTGGAGACTCTGTTACATATTTGTGAGAGTGTGGTCCATTTTCTATGCCATGGAACTCCTCCTAATGTCTAGTACTCTTGTTTGTGATATTTTCCGTATCAATATATAGAACAGTCACTTCAAACTGCTTAAGACTCTAAATACTAAAAATGGGAAGCCAATTAGAGAAGGACATAATTTAACAATAACCCGTGCTGCTTGTTTACCTAAAGTTTAGAACAACTGCTAATTTTCACACTTCGGAGATTTCCCACAGTTTATAGCTAAAACATGATCAAATACATTGATCACCACTGTCCGTTCTGTATCTAGCCATCTAAACCATCAGACACAAATTATCAAATGCTATCAGAGCTACCTACTAGGACCCTTCAAATTCTTTGCAAAGTAGTAATGAAAATCTGGGAAGAGAAAGGTAGAGACAAGAACCCTCTCTCCCCAGGAATGACTGGCTGCTATTACCAGTTATTATAAAAATGTTTACGAATAACAATTCTTACTTTTTTATATAATATCCCAACAGCTTTCTTCTGAGAAATCACTTAAGTAGTGTCTGCGTAAGGAGTCAGCACAACTAATCTCTTACTGTTGTCTGGGAAGGCTCTGTTTACCCGAGTCACAGTAAACAAAAGAAATAAATGCAGAGTAGCAAACGACAAAGATATGTCAAATGTTTAAGTGACTATAGTCCTTACCTCTGATGTCACCTCCAGCACAAAAAGCTTTTCCCCCAGTTCCCTTGATAATTATTAGAAAAGTTTCAGGATCTTGCTCCCACGTCTAAAAAAAAGTAAATGTTTCCATGTAAGACTGACGTGTGGAATAAAAGGCTTTCTCTGTATACAGTCTATAATTCTTATTTTACTTTTTCAAAAAGCAAATCAATCCATACTTTAAAATAGTTTGAAGTTTGAGAGCCAACTGTATTTCTGCCACCCCTGAGCCCTTATCCATCAAGTCCTCATTTAAGGAATGATGCTGACAGCACCTTGCTTTCCAATGGTTTGTATTTTTTATCTCAGCCAGCCTCCCCACAAAACATGCATCTGATCAAGAGGTAACACCACTGTTTAGCTTGAAATTTGTGCATGCCAACTGACCAGCTGGGTGTTGCCAAAAGGAACATACAAATGCTTGTTCTGAATTCAGTTCTGGGACTAATACGAATGTTCATTTATCTATGGAGATGGTAAATTTAACTTTGTCTGACAGCTTGTTTCTTTGACGTTTTCTCTTTCTAACTTGCTTGAAACTGTCTGTCCCTTCTCATCCCATAAATCTGAGCTCAATGGCCACTGCACTCACACAGACTTTCATTCTTTAAATCAGTACACTAAGTGTCAAATTGCATTTTAAAATTGGTTTCAAATAACACATGTATAGCGGACGAGGAGAAGTTGAGATACTAACCTTTAATTGTGGGTAAATTTTTTTGATCATAGAAAGATTTAGTGCATTGAGAGCCTTGGGTCTATTCAAAGTTATTATTCCTGCACCTCCTCTCTTTTCCAGCAACACTTCAGCTGTTGAATCTGTTTGGTTTGACATTTTCTGTACATGCAAAACCAAATAAATATAGCAAGTGTCATCAGTTAGATAACTTGAGTAACATACAAGAGTGTTTATGGAAGTATATTCTTAAAATGCATTATTTAAGATGATAAAACACGCATTTTGCAACTGTATACTAATTACATGCTTTCCCACTGTGCTTCAAGTTTTATTTGAAGTTCTTTTGAAACTGTTCCATGTTTGAGGCCTTCGAAGTAATAAATCTCAGGTAACTTTTTTGGCCACACATTTTTAGCAATGACATTTAAATGAAATTAAGAAAAAACAAACAAAAACCACCCAAACATCAACATAAAACCATAATTCCTTAAAACTGACATTCTGAAAATACCTACAACAATTAGAACAAAGACAGTGCCATGTGTACCTATTGGCAGTTTGACACTGCAAATCCAAATGTACACATTGCTCTGTCTGTAAGTAACTTTTAATAGTAGAGAACAAATCACTGAACTATTTTCACAATTGATTTCAAACTCACAGTGGGACAATATTTAAGGAATTTACGAAGGTAACACGGAATTTACGAAGTGCTCAAAGATTTGGACAATGCTGTGCCTAAGCAATAAATGACAGCTTTCAGAACCAGTGAGCAGACACATGAGAAGCTGCATGTGCTGTCCATCTTGAGGGAGTTGAGGAGTCCTGAAAGCTTCCAACTCAGTCAAAATGCTGTCCTCACCAAATGTTGTAATATTACTTGCAGTCTGTTGATTGCCTTCAGCCTAAAACAGAAATATTAAAAAGACAGCTAAAACCATAAACCAGCTGGGTTAACCAAAGCAGTGGCAGAAAAATTTCTGAACACAAGTATTTTACATTCTCCTTTTTAAAACCAAGCAAGTTAGGGTACAATTTTGTTATCCAAACAGTTGCAAATTCCTTGCTTACTAGTAAATAGAGAGCAGGTACCAATGTCAACTACTAATGTTTTCAAGTTAGGAGAACCTGGAAAGACAGAGGGTTTGGGGATTATAAGTCATAGTTAATGTGTGTCCTTTAAAGATTTTAGTGCCTTTTTCTGGATGTTTAAATAATGGCACTAAAAAAAAAGAAGAAACGGTCTTGTCAAAACCTTGTGTATTTCCAAAGGTTCCATTGCACAAAGCTGCCCCCATGTGCACATGTATTTACACGGGGTTTGTGTAAGAGCTCCCACAGGGCTCGAGTTTCTGTGGGTGACAGCAGAGATCCACACCAGGGCATGCCGTGACCATGTCGCCCGTTTTAAGCAGTGAGGCTGTTATTTCTTAATTATCACAGAGAAAGGCAGCTATCGGTGGCGCTGCTCAGACATCAGACGGATGGAACGAGGAACTTAAGCGTACCAACCCAGTCACCTACGTGTTACACGTTAACACCGCGGCATCCTACCCTATTTTTAAATCATGATCTCTTTAGGACGGGAAATTTCGCCGGGGCCTGGCTATTCCAGGCCCAAGCCGCGATGTACAGCAGCCGCGGGGCCGGGTTCCGCCGCCGGCCCGGCCCGTCCCGCCCCGCCCGTCCCCGGCGCTGCCGGCGCCATTTCCCGCCCGCCGGGGCGGCCCCGTCGTTACCTGGGCAGCGCGCGCAGCACCCACCCCGCCATGGCGGCCCCACCGGCTCCGGCGCGGGGCGGCCCCGGGGCGGGACGGGCGCATGCGCGGGGCGCTGAGGGGGCACCGCCGGAACCCTGACGAGGAGCGGTTGCTCCCGTCCCGGGACCGGCTCCGGGGAGCGGCCGCCAACCTCGGATCCCCTTCCTTACCTGGGATTTCTCTCCCAGTTCCCCGTCCCGAGTGAGGCCGGGAGGTGTGAGTGCGCGAGGTGATGCGGTTTCGTTTTGTCAGTGAAGCAACGATGCTGCGTGTAGCAACAACAAACCGTGCTTGTTGCTGCCCAAAGTGGGGCAAGCTGGCGTTGCCAAACCGCCTTCACAGAGTTCAGCCCCGCGGACTGAAACTTCATTCTAATGGTTTGTTATTTTCAGCAGTGAAACCGGTTTCTTGATTTCTGACCTCCTGGTTTCTCTTCATGCTTTGCACCCTGTGGACAAACCTGTGCTGTCCACACCCCCAGCTATTGACACACAGAAAGCGAGTGAGGTGGGATTAAGGAGCTGCTCTGATGTGACCTCGCAATGAGAGCTGCTTATAAGTGAAGGTGAATACATGGATTAAGCACTAGCACGGTTACTGCCCCAACAGTAGCTGCAGACAGCTGTGAGCTCAAACACAGTATGTGTGTGTTCAGCATAAATTGACTCAGAAATTACAAGTGGGAAAATTGCCTCTTTTTAAAAATTATTTTTAAAAAACAACAACAACAACAACAACAACAAACAGAATATAAAGGCACTTGAGAATTTATGGCCATCATCCTAGGAGTTCACAGTGCTAAATTCACTTTGATTTCCATAACTAAGACCATTCAATGAATTTTGGTTTTCAGGCTGACATGTACCAGCATGAGACTCATACTGAAAAGTGTGATGAAACATGGAGTAAATGACAATAAAGTGCACTAGGTAGAAATGTAACTTCATCATCTCTCGGTATAGCAAGTTCTTAGCACCAGCTGCCTTGATTCACATTAGTATTTTACAAATCCAAACAATCTTAAAATCTCTTAGCTAATATATTTTACTGGAACAAAAAAATCCCAGCTCTCAGAAGCACTTCTAGAAAAGTCCCCAGAGGGCAACCTTGCTCTTCGTTTCGAGAAATGATTCAGCCCCTGCTTAGAGCAGCATCATCTGTGTTGGTATTTCCATTGCAATGACTCTCAGGGTGTATTAAATTTGGTTGTAAAAGTCTTAATCAAACTAAATAGGCATTAAAAAAAAAAGATACAGAACATTTGTGTATTAACGCAGTCTCAGTTTTCAGTCTTGTACACTGTGAACAAAAAATAACTGAGAACAGGACATGAGATGCTTTTTCAGTCACTGGAAGACTACTGCAAATTAATGAACTGCAGAATTCATTAGGCAATCCGGACTACTCAAACTTTCACCTAAAGATTATATGATGCTCACTGATGTAGCTTATTGCCAAACCTGAATCCTGAATTAGATACTTTTTTTTTTTGTTTTTTTTTTTTTTTGAAGGATAGCTCTACATTCTCATCCAGGCATAACCAATAATAGGGAGTTTGATGAGCAGGTAATATTTTTGTTCTTCACATCCTATGTCTTAAAGTCTATACATTTCACAACCAAATAGAACCTTTCTGTCAGATAATCTTTTCGCCAGTGGTGGTGTGGGAATGAAGAAATGGGCATGAGGAAGCTAACCTTGGGTAAGAGCTGTCTGAAACCCCTGGAATTCTCTTTAACAAATTCCATTTGTACATGGGCAAGGCTGTGATCAGGACACAATTACACAGGGTGTCTATGTTTCAAGGGTCCAAAATAGAAGTTGGTGATCTGATTCATCTTTTCCCTATGCTGACTTTAAAGTGCTCTCCCTCTGAGTTCAGCGTAAATAATGGTGTAGACCCTTTCTTTGTGGTATTCCAGCTGTGTCTGATTTAGGGCAAGAGTGGGGCCTACTCATTTGTAAACAATGAGGTAGCAGCAAGCATTGTCTTGCAACAGCTACTGATTTCTTTCCATGGTGGTGACACTGAATTTATGCTCAATGTTTTCTTAAAAATACTTACTTTTTTTTTTTTCTTTTTAAATATAAATTGCTTTCAGGAAGAAGAGGTGGTGACAGAAGAGCCATCTTCTTTGAGCCTAGTGTTCTTCATTTTTAAACATGCTGGTGGTGGCTTGAATTTTCCTATATTTTTTTGGGGAGGGGGGGTGGTAGGTGTTGGGAAATTTTGATTTTATCGCAGACAACCATTTAGTTGACTGCAGTCCAGTCCAAAAAGTAACTCACATATCATTCTGCTTTTTCATAGATCTCCTGCACGCCCCATTTTTTGCAGAGTGGAAAGCCAATGTTTTCTAAAAAGTAAATAAAAGACTTCTATAAGTAGAAATAGGGAAAAGATTGAAAATAATGGAGTTGCATGAGAATCAGTGGAATGAGATGACCTTTAACCTGAGAGTTTATGGATGATTTAATATTGGCAAACAGAGCTGCAGGAGACTGGATATACTGGAGGTGAGCAGCACACCTAGTAACCAAGCCAGGAACTCAGGGAGTACAAGTGCAATAGCCAGAAGGATAAGCAGGTTGTAATTCCTCCCCCTGGAAAAATTTCCTGGCAGTGCATTCAGCAGGTTTGGAAAGAGAAAACAACTTGCAGACTGTAGGAGGACTTCGGAATTGAGCAGATGTTTTCAGGTTTTGTTTCTTGGGTTTTTTGGTTTCTTTTCCAGAAAAAAAAAAAAAAAACAAACTTTAGAATGCGGGAACTCTTGCTCCCTAGAAGGATTCCAAGAGCAGCTCAGCTGCTTTCTGTGTGCCATCTGCATATCCCTAGTTAATCATTAAGTTGTGGCTCAGACTTGCCTCTGAGACCTCCCAGTGTAGTTGACCAAGACCAGATAATAAATGGCACAAGTACTTCATCGTGTCCCGTGCTCCTGTGTCCAGGCTTGCTGTAAATTTAATCTTTTCCTCTGATGGTCTAACAGCTGGTACCTAATTGCTCTGAGCGTGGGTAGCAAGTGCATCCTTACAGCATGTGCAGGTAAGGGAAAACGAGTCTGTGAAGGCTTGAGGAACAGAATGGGAAAATTTCCAGCTCATCCCTGCTAACTCGTTATTACTGTGCTGACAAACAATCCTCACATTGTTATTTCTCAGTCCAGTCTCAGTTGGCAGCACTCTAAAGCACCTCCACAGGTGACACAGGTGGAAATTTCCTTGTGCCAACTTGGATGCCAAATACTAAAGGCTCAAGTCTGCAGTGGAGAGTCTTCCAGTAATGTCATTAAGAGCAGAAGTAGCCTTAAAATAAGCAGTAAACTAATCTGTTCCTCCACTCTCCAGCAATAGGCCAGCCCAGGGAAGGACTGAAACACCACAAACACCTATGTAATATGGAGAAGGAAATTTTTGCTTTTGTCTGTAACGTGAGCAATCTCCTTGTACAGAGTGCCTTCCCTGGCACTTTTGGTCAGAGATTTTTCAGATAATGCATCCATGCAACATCTGAAATCACAGGTTTGGGCTGAGATCACAGCAAATGGCATGCAGCAGTGAATTTCTCCTGTTACAAGAAAGTGTGTGAGGGAGGAGGGGAAAAAAATCAACTTTTTTTTCCCCCCTTTTTTCTTCAACAGTTAATTTGCGTCTTATCAGTGGGGAACTAGAAGTGTTTGGAAAAGGATGAAAGCAAATTCATAATGAAGCTGTGTGAGCGAAGTACTTTCCATTTTCCTTTGGCCTCAGAGGGCACCGGGGGAAAGCATGGGGGTGGCTGGGTGCTGCTGCAGATGCTGCCGTGTTGATGAGACAGGGAGGGAGGATCCAAGCGAGGTCCATCCACCAGCGAGTTCCTCTCCTCCCACCATCCCAGCTTAGACATACCACTCGTGCTGCATCCACCCTGCCAGTACTCCCTGGGTTAGACGGGACCCTGGGCAAACACCCTCCTACATCTTTCTTCCCTGCTGCCACAAGCAATCTGTCATTCCTCTCCTCGAACCACCCTCCACCCACGTACGAAGCCATAACTGTGAGGAACGCCCTCTTCCCTCCTCCTTTTCCTCCCCACAAGCCTGTTCTTCATGGGTGAAAAATGCTGTCTTCCCAGAGATCTGGTCACCCCCGAATTTGGCTTTAAGACCCAAGCTGTTTGATGCCTTTTAGGACCACAGCTTGGAAACCTCTGCTTGCAGATCCATTGTATTAGTTTTTCAATTGCACATAATTGGACATGTGCAGGTGGGAAGGGGCTATTTGCTTCCCACTTTCTCCAATATGCCTCCTTCCCTCCGAGGGCCGCTTCCTTCCCTCCCTGCTCTTGGCTTCCCACGCATTCAGCAATCAGAAATACTGCAGAAAACTGACCAGCTACCAACCCGCCCACCTGAGGAGGAGGAGCACCAGCAGCAGCAGCAGCACATTTCTCTCGCTCTCAGCTTTTTAAACACGGTTAAAAAGAGCTGTGGCGTGGGTGGAAATAGCTGTAGGGAGTGTGTGTGGGAACGGGGCCAGAGGAAAGTGAATTTTCTCTTGGTGGGATAGTTAACTTCTAGTGGACCAAAAAAGTCCCCCAAGGATATCTGACTGCTGAGGGTGTCTTTGGCTATATAATTAGTTCTTAAGGTTGAGTTTCCCAGGTCTGTGAAGAATGAAACTGAGTTTCTCTCTCCCTGGTAATGCAAGTGATGGCAGGGACTTGCCTACCAGACTCCAGCAGTCTGCTTAGCAAATGATATCTGTACTGCATCCCATTGTGTCATCATATCTGTTGTGCTCTCGATGTGTGTGCTTGATTCTCTGAGAGTCAGAGCTGCCTGTATGTAGGAAGAGAAAAAGGCACGTGGTTTTCACACGGTGTGGGTCTGTATTCCAAAATACCATCCCTCTTGGACCTCTTGAAATAGCACTGTCCCAGAATATCAGTTAATTCAAGATTTACTCTAAATATGTGCTTCTAAAAGAAATTAAATTCAGGCTTATCTGTGTTAACAGGATGTTATTTGAGGTACTTTGTTGGTATTACATGAAAATAGCAGTGGAACTAGTATAGGAAAGCAGAACTTGTAAGACTCGTGGTATAGAGTGCGAAGTGGTAGTGCTGTTTGTTGATAGACTGCAAGAGCTAAGGGTCCTCTACAGCTTTGACATTCTGACTTGTTTTGACTTATCTATCTGAAATACAGGTTTCACAATATGTATTCCTAGTTATAGTTGTCCTAGCTTGAGTTAGTTGCATGCATTCATCTCAACCCAAAACTCTACCCATACACTGATTTTGACTAGATTTCACACCAGCATCAGACTTTCCATATACGTTACTGATGCAGAATCTTACATCAGGATGTGGTCTTCAATGATTCAGACATGCAAAAACAG